CCTGGCGGTGCTCGGGGGACCATATGGGATGCTGGGAATCAAACCTGTGTTGGCCACGTTGGCTGCATGCAAGGCAAATGCCTTACCCGCTGTGCTATCGCTCCAGCCCCAACCTGGTACTTTTCTTAATGGAGTGTTGAATCGAATTTTACAGAAATCAACGTACATTCAGTTTAGGCTAAAAAACCTAGTTTCGGTCCACTGTTCTCAACATCATTTGAACCCAAACTTCTGTCTGATAAGAAAACATAGGCTTTCCCAAGATACCATGTATAAGCAAATAAGTGTTTTCACCTTCTGGCAATTTTGCAGTTCGCTAGGGTGATAGTATGATACGAAATGGGCAATTAAAGATAAAACCTAATTTAGATACAATGTGAGATAGGAGTCCAGTATGGGATGGACTTGAAACTGCTTGGGATAGATCCCAAGGCTGAATAGGATTTGGGTCAGCAATACAGAAAGTGTAAGCAGTCAGAAAGGCAGAAATGAGAACTAAGTCCCCACTAGGTTAGGACACACATTTGAAGGGAGATCAGAAAACAAGATCAGCTTAGTAGGAAGAAACATCAACACCTTCAGTGAGGATAAGAAATATACGGGGACAGAGTCAATGGAACTGTACCACCCTGTAGGAAGACCCCTGCTGGAAGCTGTTCAGCTCCCTGAATGGGTCAGTCTCTTGCTTCTTGCTCTTTAAACTCTCCCATCAAGGCGAAAGAGCAATAGAGAATTCACAGATGTATTGAGCAGAACCTGGGTTTCGTTGATGATAGCAGGTGATTCAAAATTTTAAAGGCCAGTATCACCTTTATCAGGCTTGGAGCTGCGAGGGACATAATGCAAATAAATAAATAAACCGAAGGCAGACTGTTTTACAAAATGGCAAATTCCCCTTTAGAGATGTTTCAAATTTCAGGCGTTGAGTATTGCCAACTTAAAAAAAGTACATTCTTTGGGGAACAAATATTGGTTCCTTAAGTACATATTATCGCCTTCCCTTCATCCCAGGGTTACTGGTTAACGTCAGAACTCTGGGGATAGAAAGCAGGAATGATTGAAAAGGAAGTAAATATAAATACAATGGTTTGATTTTTTGGACGACCCTCTGTTTTATTTATTTATTTATTTTGCTATGGGAAAAACTTAAGAGAGTTGACTTTCTTGAAATGACAAGAACATTTTTACTGCTAAATATATCTAGCTGAAATAAGATTTAAAGTTGATCATTAGTTTTCTCTTACTGAATCTCAACTGATTCTTCATGACTTTCCCAATTTAGTCTTTGAAAACATTTATTTACTATTTTGGTACCGGAGAATCATATCTAGGGCCTCACACATATGAGGCATACGTTTTCCCATAGAGCCACATCTCAGCATGTTCAATTTAGTCTTGGTAACGCAACAAGTAGGGCTGAACAGATAGATCAAGGGGCTGAGCACATGCCTCTGGCTGACATCACTGGGCCTATTCTGGAATCTGTGGGTTCAGAATAGAGGCTTCTACCCTCCCTGCCGGGTAGGTCCCAACAGTCTCCAGACCCGACCTGCGCCATGTTAAGGGCCCACACACAGCTCCCGAAGTGAATGGTCACTTACCCAACCATGTTACTTATTTACACAACAAATTATATGTTTGTCACAGTTATTCTTCTTGTCATTCTGTGAGGCTGGGCACAGAAAACAGAGAGAAATCTCCAGCTTAATTGCTCAGCATTTCCAGTGGGGTTGAGTACAGAGGATTACTCACTACCCAGCACAGCAAGGACACTAGAAAAACAACGGGGAAAAAAAAACCCGTACAAGTTCATCAAGTTCAATGAGTGAACACAGTATCATTGAAGACATGAACAACACCAGAAAACTCTCAGACAGTGTCTTCAGTGACACTATGATGAAGATATTCAATGAGGATGTTCAATGAGTTCATTTGCACAGGTAGTCAGTGAAGCATAAGAAAATATGAGAGTCAAAATAAAAAAAAAACTGGGGCTCGATCGATAGTACAGCAGGTAGGGCGTTTGCCTTGCACGCGGCTGACCCAGGTTTGAGTCCCAGCAACCCATATGGTCCCCTGAGCACTGCCAGGAGTAAATTCCTGCATGTAGAGCCAGGAATAACCCCTGTGCATCACCAGGTGTGACCCAAAAAGCCAAAAAAAAAAAAAAAAAAACCCTTCAGACTTTGGCCTGTTTTCTCCTTAAAAAAAAAAAATAAACTACTACCCTCAGAAATGAAGAACATGGTGATATAAAAATCATAAAATAACTTTATGATTTTTTATAGAAAATAGAAAATAAAAAAAGGAATAGGAAGTCAACACCTCTGAACAGCAGAACAACAGAAGCTGAGCAAAAGGTCAAGGGCTCCAAGATGAGAAGGAGGAAACTGCTAAGAAACAGCAGAAGGTAGAAATAGTGTGGAAAGAAATGAACAGCACACCAGAGAACTGTGGGATGAGTTCAAAAGGAACAATAGAAGATTCATCGAAGTCCCTGAAGAACAGGAAGGCAAATGTCACAAAAAATAGTTAAAGAAATCATCCGTAAGAAATTCCCAGAGTTTATTGGGAGCAGGCACCAAGATCCCAAGGGATCCTAGTGAAAAGAGACCCAATTAGGAACACTCCAAGACACATTAAACTCAAAATGACAAAATCCAAAGATAGAGACAGAATATCAAATGCAGCAAGATCAAAAAGGAACTTATATACAGAAGGAAAGCCCGTAAGATATACAGCAGACCTCTCAAATGAAACTTAACGAGCCAAAAGAATCTGAAAGAATTTAGTACAAAAGCAACAAAATGAACACCTCACCGAGAATATTCTATCCAGTTAGATTATCGTTCAAATTTAAAGGAATTATACAGAGCTTACTGGACAGACAACAACTCAGGAAATTTATAGCCTTGAAACCAGTATTGCAAGAAGCATTGAAAGGGCTCCTTTAAAAGACAGTAGAAACTTCCTGTCATGTGGCATTGAGTGTGGCACCCAATAAAGTTTACATATGGTTAGTCCTCTACAAGATTCAGAGAGGTGAAAAACAGGGCTGGAGCGATAGCACAGCGGGTAGGGCGTTTGCCTTGCACGCAGCCAACATGGCTGACCCAGGTTCGATTCCCAGCATCCCATATGGTCCCCCGAGCACTGCCAGGAGTAATTCCTGAGTGCATGAGCCAGGAGTAACCCCTGAGCATCGCCGGGTGTGACCCAAAAAGCAAAAAATTAAAAAAAAAGGTAAAAGACATATAGCAATTAATCCTCACAAATTGACTTTTATTGATTTATTTTCTGATAATTCTATCTGCCGTTCCTTCAAGTTTTATTGGACCGAGTAATGTTAAGTAAATTTGATATATGCCTGCCGCGGGGGTAGGCTGGGAGGTGGGAGGGAATTGAGGGATATAGGCGGAGGTAAGAGACATTGATGGTAGGATTAGAGTTGGAACATTGTATGCCTGAAAAAACTGTGCACTGTAGCACTGTCCTCCCGTTGTTCATCGATTTGCTCGACTGGGCACCAGTAACATCTCCATTGTGAGACTTGTTGTTACTGTTTTTGGCACGTCGAATACACCACGGGGAGTTTGCCAGGCTCTGCCATCCCGGTGGGTTACTCTTGGTAGCTTGTTGGGCTCTCTGAGAGGGACAGAAGAATTGAACCCGGGTCGGCCACATGCAAGGCAAATGCCCTACCTGTGGTACTATTGCTCCAGCCCTGAAACAACTATATTATGAATAACTTTGTAAATCATGGTGTCTCAATAAACGTTTCTGAAAAAAAGAAAAACAATAACTGTCAGGGGGCTTGAGCAACAGTACAGTGAGTAGGTGTATACTACACACAACAAACCTGGCTTGATCCCTGGCACCCTGTAGGGTCCCCTAAGCCCTGCCAGGAGTAATCCCTGAGTGCAGAGCCAGGAGTAAGTTCTGAGCACAACTGGGTGTGGCCCCAAAACAATAAAAAACAAAAAATGAGAGAGAGAAAGAGAGAGAGAGAGAAACTGTGAGGGATAAAAAGAAGTATAATATGGAGCTGGAGAGATAGCACAGCAGGTAGGGGGTTTGCCTTGCATGCAGCCGACCCGCCCGGGTTTGATTCCCAGCATCCCATATGGTCCACTGAGCACCACCAGGAGTAACTCCTGAGCGCAGAACCAGGAGTAACTTCTGTGCATCGCCGGGTGTGACCCAAAAAGCAAAAAAAAAAAAAAAAAAAGAAGTATACATTCTGTGTCATTAAGGAGTTTGTGATGTTCTTGGCGGGAGATAAGATATATAATTAACATAAAAAAGTAAACAATATTATATTTAATATTTGACAATAGAATGGTTTGGGAGTAATTTGGATTTGATCTGAAAAAGGATTAGTAGTGAATCATGTAGGCAATTCTTGATTAGGACATAAAAGAGGGAAAACATAAAGGCGATTGGGAACGGGGTGCTGGTTGATTGATGTGCAGGTTCCTATATCAGGATAAGGATAAAAATGTTGGTGCCAGGAGCTGGAGCTATTACTCAAGGGGTGGAATGCATTGCGAGGCCCCAAATTTGATCCCTCTCGTCACTGGGTGTGGTCCTGGTGGCTCCCAATATCACTGTGTTATATTACGGGACTGTGTATCCCTGGGTGGTGGTCCCTGGGTGCCCTGACACCAGTGGGGAGACCCCCTCATCTTACTGCCCTGCAAAAGTCAGTGCTAGACTGTGAAGAGCCTAGAAAAATCTGTCCCTCTCCCCACCCACTTTTTCAGTTTTACTAAAAATACTGCAGCGCTAGAAAGAGGAAGTCTCTGCCGCCGAGGGTGCAAGAGGAAGTGCGAGAAGATCTTGAGGGCCTGTGAGCAGCAGTGACTCAGGCGCCAATCACAGGGCAACAGGAAGCCCAGTGCACCAACCAGGCCGGGTCCCTGTGCCCTGAGGGTGTCACCATCCCAACCTGAAAGTGTTTGGGGAGAGCAGGCTTGCTGTCCAGAGGCTCCTCTCTCCCTCTCGGTGGCCACCATGTCTTTGACCTCTCCGTACCAGCACAAGTTGGCAGAGAAGCTCACTATTCTGAACGACCGAGGTCAGGGCGTCCTCATCCGGATGTATAACATCAAGAAGGTAAGTCTGAGCAAAGGGGCGAGTATTAAACTGTTTCAGAACAGCAGGGCGGGGATTCGGGAGGCCTCGGGTCAAGCAGTGAGACTTCCCACTCTTGGCCCGATGTCTGGATTGCCTCCAGTTACACTAGCCAGAGTTAGGACTCAGACTGGAGGCCTCTTTTTCTATCGAGGTGTGATTCCTGGTCCCAGGAGAGTGTCAGCCTCTTGCCCATTGTCAGCGTAGAGGTAAAAGGTGGGAAATAATCGTGTTCTGAATCATTTGCATAAAGGTCTCGGGTCCAGAATTCCAGGTATTATTATTATTTGTTTCTGGCCTCTCTCCCACTCTGAAGGTATCTAACGTGGCCTAAAACGTTGGAAAAGCTCTTCTGTGAAAGTACTTCCCTAAAAGGGGGGGGGGGGAAAGGACATCGGAAAAGGATAGGTGCCTTCTGAGGGCTGAGGCATTGATGCTGAGGTGGAGAATGTGTGTGTGCGTTTTATGAGAACGGTGGGGCCACCGGTAGAAGCTGGCGGTAAGCCCTCAAATTAGTAGAGACAACGGCGGGAGTGGGGGAGTTCTGGAAAGAGAAAACGGGGGATCCGGAGAGGACTTTTGTGCGTTTAGTAATGAAGCCATCATCAGGAACACAGTCTCTTTGTCCCCGTGTCTCCTGTAAGTGCTGTTTCGGATGAAGTACTTATTTAGGAGATGTAGTTGTGACAGTGACTCCCTACAGGGTCTACCCCCTGAGCAGCTGCTTTCTCACTTTTTCCGGCCTCAGCTGAGGGGTGGGGAGAGCTTCCTCTTTGTACTGAGACAGAGCAGACATTAGCCTTCACTCAGCAAGACAATGCACACAGGTGATTTGGCTCTTCTGATTGTTCGCTTGACACATTGGTGTTGGCACTACAATCTGTAAATTTATCACATCCAAGTGTGAGCCACCAGTGGTATGCCCAGAGTCAAAGTGTTAGTCAGTGTCCTGCATCTTACTCCTGATGAGCTCCCAGGCTTTTGTATAAAGAACCCCCAGATTCCCTTCCTTAGAGTGCACGAGTGAATGATGCATGCTGTGAATTATGTTTCTGAGGTGCAGGAGAAAGCGTTGAAATTTAGTATGCTTTATCTGTGCAGACATGTTCAGATCCCAAATCCAAGCCATCTTTCTTACTGGAAAAGTCAATGGAATCATCTCTCAAGTACATTAACAAGAAATTTCCTAACATAGATGTCCGAAACAGCACGGTAAGAATTGACCTCTCTTTTTCCTGTTCTCTGAAAAACTCTTTGATTGAATGCTTCAGATTCTCTTAAGACTGCCTCTCTGAACATTGAAAGGGATAGAGTATCATTGTTTTTTTTTTTTGGGGGGGGGGCTTTGGGTTACACTGGGTGGTACTCAGCGATCACTCCTGGCAAGGCTTGGAGAAGCATGTTGGGCTCCAGGGATCAAACCTGGATCGGCTGTGTGCAAGGCAATACCCTACCCCCTTTACTGTTGCTTTAAATCCCTAAAGTAATTTTTTAAAAAGTTAACTTCTTCCTTCCTTCCTTCTTCCCTCTCTTCCCTTCTACCCCTCTTTCTCTTCTTCTCCCTCCCTCCCTCCCTTCCTTCCTTCCTTCCTTCCTCCCTTCCTCTCTCTCTCCCTCTCTTCTTTTCTTCCTTTATTTCTTCCTTTCCTTCTTTCTTTTTTCTTATCCAATGGCCATATTGGCAAAACAGTCGGCTCAGGGCTTTGAGCATGCTAGACAAGTGATCTGCCACTTGAGTCACATCCCTGGCCTTCCCCACCTCCCACCCTCTGCTTTTTCCTCAGGGCTTTGACTCCTGCAGATTTAAGAATTCTGAAATAGAGCCAGGGACATAAATTCAAGGACTGAAACACTGGTTTTGTTTGCAGGAGACCCAGATTTGATTCCCAGTGCCACATGGTCCTCTGGGCAATGCCAGGAGTGACCCTTGAACATTGAACCAGGAGCAGTCCTTGAACTATACTGGGTGTGACCCAATAAACAAACAAACAAACCCCAAGAATATTCCTGATATAGGGGTTGGAGAGATAGCTCAAAGGACTGGATGTGGGGCTGGAGTAATAGTACATTGGGTAAGGGGCTTGCTTTGGGTGCAGCTGACCAGGGTTTGATTTTCAGCACCCCATATGGTCCCCTGAGCCTGTGAGAGGTGGTCCCTGAGCACAGAGCTAGGAGTTATCCCTGGTCACTGCTGGGTGTGGCATCCCTGCAGCCTGCCCCCCTCCCCCAAAGGACTGAATGAATGCTTTGCATGCAAGAGAATTGGGTTTGAGTCCAAACACCAGGTGTTCCCTGAGCACTTCTGGGAGTAATCCCTGAGCACTACCAGATTTAACTTTCAAACAAAAACAGAAGCAAAAATAACGACCCCCAAATGAGAGGGGGCCAAAGAGGTCGTACAGTGGGTTAGGCGCTTGCTTCTCACATAGCTGACCTGGATCTGATCCCTACATGCGGTCCGCCAAGTAATCTTTAATCACGGAGCCCAGAATAAGCCTCCCTACAAGGCTGGATGTGGCATCAAAACAAAAAACAAAATAAACCAAAAAAAATATCTGAGACAGGATGAGAACACTTAATTTTTGGAGAGGAAGATGGTTTCATCATTACAGTAAAATACACATTTTGTTGTTCCTGTTTCCCAGGGTTATCTTGCTAATTGTCTTAGAATTATGCATCTAGCAGGACGTCCTTTACTTTTCCCTCCTGAAAGAAATACAGCCCTAGATGTCTTACCACCTTACCTGAAGCATCTTCTCATTTTGCTGACTCTAATTTAGCTGTAAATAATAAACCTCCTTCATTGGAAGAGACCTTAATATTTTCTGTATCTACTCAGGATCACATTCGTCCATCATTCATTCTTTTGAGAATCTTTGTTTAAACCTGGAGATTTTTAAACTCCATTTTCCAATTTAATTTCAACCCTCTGAAGAACATTTCAGGTATAACCCCCTATTCTTCTTGGGTTATTTTGATCAACTGTCATCTTGTTTTGTGTTTTTAAATTTAATTTTGCATTTCTTTTAGCAACATTTAGGACCAGTTCATCGGGAAAAAACTGAGATAATTAGATTCCTCACCAATTACTACCAGTCATTTGTGGATGTCATGGAATTTCGGGTGAGTTTGCCTATCCAGATTCCCACTGCAGACGTTCTTCTTCAGAGGCCGTTCCTTCTTTAGTTGAAGTTCATTAATGTTGTTTAATATTGTTTCTTGAAAAAATAAGAGAGGTGTACTACGTGGGAGGATATCTAAGATATAGAGTTAGTTGAAAGACAAGTGCAGAACAGAATATAGAACGATTGTGTTTTTATTTAAAAAATATATATCTGTGCATTGTATTCATACATACAAAGATCTAGAATAATAAAAATAATTACTGTTGGAAGTGAATTACCATTTTTTAGTTTATTATATTATAGTTTTTATAATTTTGGGGGAGGACACACTTGGCGGTGGTCAAGGCTTACTCCCGGATCTGTATTCAGGAATAATCACTTTTGGCAATGCTCAGGGGACCTTGACCATGGGTAAGGCAAGTACCTGCTGTACTATTTCCCCAGCCACAAGGGAAGACCCATCCATGTTTTGGTTTGTTTTTGGGTCACACCTGATGGTTCTCAGGGCTTACTCCTCACTCTGTGCTCGGAAATCACTCCTGATGGGTTCAAGAGACCCTTTGGAATGCCTAGGATTGGCTGGCAAGCACCCTACCTGCTGTGCTCTCTGGCCCCCAAAGTTCCCTAATATTTTATTACAGATCTATCAAAACATCCCAAGTACTGTAATGAAAATGATTTTACTCCTGTAGATCTTCTAATTGTTCATATTTTGCCACAGTTGCTCAACCCAAACCATTTGCGTTAGTTGCAGGCATCTTTCCCTCCTTCAGTACGTTTAGCACACATCCGCTAGGAACACAACTATTTTGCTGTGTAACCCCAATGGAATCATGATACTCAGCTATCCTGATACCCTAACAGCTACGATGTTATTAGTTAACATATAACCCATGTTTACATAATTGACTGAGCAATCCTATATTGAATTTAGTTGTCAGGTCTTTCAGTATTAATTTATAATAGTACCCAGTCTTTTTTTTTTATGGAACTGATCTTTTAAAAGAACCCAGACTATTTTTCAGGTTATTCTCCAGTTTGAGTTTATCTAATATACATTGTTAGGTAGTAATACAACATGGGTGATATTCGAGTTTAGTTTTATTTGAGTTTAATAGTGAACATGTACTATTTCTGTAAATACAAAAACTATAAAAATTATTAGCGATAGCCCAGTGGGTAGGGCATTTGCCTTGCAGGCGGTCGACCCAGCCGACCCGGGTTCGATTCCTTCATCCCTCTTGGAGAGCCTGGCAAGCTACCAAGAGTATCTCACATGCACAACAAAGCCTGGCAAGCTCCCTGTGACGTATTCGATATGCCAAACACAGTGACAACGAGTCTCACAATGGAGACATTACTGGGCCCGGTTGAGCAAATCGATGAACAATGGGAGGACAGTGCTACAGTCCCATGGAAAATTACACAACCATTTTTAGACTACAGATGATTAAAAAAATTTCTCTCTTTTCCTGTCTGAATAGTGGTATATAAATAAGAAAAATTAAGGAAGTAGTCAGCTTAATCAGTGCCTGAATAAAGGGCAGTATTCCTACATTAAAAGAAAAAACTAAGGAAGAACATATCAGACTGTTAAACTGTTTACCTATGGATTAGCACAGGATAGAGAGTAGTTACTGGTATGGAGGGACATATCTATAGTAAATCAAAATATTTAGGTAAAATTATGTATGAAGAGAAGAAGCCCTGTCATACTGATGTGTGGCTTACATTAATATACATAAATCACCTAGTATGTATTCAACACATAGTAGCTCAGTAGACCTACATACATAGAAAATATTCTCGTTGGTTAATGACTAATTTCTGAGAACGGGGGGTCAAATACAAGAACCAACTCACGTGGGGTTTGAATTTTGGAATTTTAGCCTATCAGATAATCTGCATATTAAAATTGTGTTGAGGGTTCAGAGTTCAACACCGGCATCCCATATGGTCCCTTGAGCCTGCCAGGAGTAATTCCTGAGTGCAGAGTCAGGAGTAATCCCTGAGCATCACCGGGATTTACCCCTCTCCCCCAAATTGTGTTGTGTGCGGGCGTATGTGTGTCCACGTGCATGTGTGTAGCAAGAGAGCAGAGATGATCAGGGGTTGGGGTTAGGGGTATGGTGTAAAAAAGCTTGTGAAAGCCCAAGCTTTTGGCCTGCTGACTGCTTACTGAGGATGAAGTCTCAACTATTATAATAGTAATGCCATTCTTATGCTATTCAGTGTTTTTCTAAGAATGTTAACGCTTTCCCTCTAATTCAGATAGCATATTCCTTCTCCTTATTTAAAAAAATTAAAAATTGAATCACTTGAGATACACAGTTACAGTTACAAAGCTGTTCATGATTGGGTTTCATCATACAACGTTCCATCATCTTCCCTTCACCAGTGTACATTTACATTTTCTTTTTTTTTTTTTTTTACAATTTATTTATTTATTGAATCACTGTGGGAAAAGTTACAAAGCTTTCAGGTTTAGGTCTCGGTCATGCAAATATCAAACACATTTCCCTTTACCAATACTTATTTTTTACCTCAAAGAACCCCAATAAACCTCCACCCCCCACCCCTCCCAATGCCTGTGAGGCAGATGAATTTTAGTTAACACTCTATCTACTTTGACTAGATTCATTGTTTCGATAAAAGATGCACCATTATTATTTAGATTTTACCCCCCCCACCCCCAATCAGATCTGCTGAAAAAGCATTGTGAAATGATTTGCTTTCTACAGCTGGGTTCAAGAATTAAATGATGTCTGGTATTTTGGATTTGGATTTGGATTTCTGCTATTTTACTTATTAACCCTGGAAGTATTTCTACTGAGTCAGATAATTAAGAGATTGGTTTCTGTGCTCTGGAGTCATGGCCATGCCGGAGAGCCGCTCGTGGGAGGCAACTGGTGACCTCGGTAGGGCGTGAAGGACGAGCCGGGAATGCCCCCTTCCCATGAGGTTTTAGTCGCCCCATCACCACCGGCTCATACCTGGCTCTCCACAAGGCTCCATGCGGCTGCCATCTTTCTTTCCAGAGAGGAGAGGGCCACATTTACATTTTCTACCACCAATGTATTCAGTTTCCATTCTACCCCCATCCCCCAGCCTTTCTCTATGACAGACATTCTCTCTCTCTCTCTCTCTCTCTCTCTCTCTCTCTCTCTCTCTCTCTCTCTCTCCTTTTGGGAATTATGGTTTTGCAACACAGGTACTGAACGGTTATCATGTTTGTCCCTTTCATTCTTGTCTTCAATTCTATCCCCAGGATCATGTATATGAACTTCTCAACACCATTGATGCCTGCCAGTGCTATTTTGATATTGTAAGTTTTTGCAATTCTATTATCTCCTAGAGCCATAGAAAAGACCATTTCTAGGATAAGATAGGGTGGAATGGAACTGGAAACATGGCTTTTTGTAATACTTTTGTAAGACGCTCTAACATTAAAGCTTGTTGACATATTTACTAGATCAGCAATGTGAATTATTCAATACAAACTCTCACAAAAGTCTTACTCCAGCTCCTCTACTCCAAGATATCACCTTGTTTCAATGACTTCTTATATTTTGAGCTTAGTTTGAGCCACAGAGTTTTGTTTCTTCTGAATTTTCTCCAGTTTTCTCCTTCTGAATTTTCAATCCTATTAGTGTCTCCTTAAGTACAGAGCCATTTCAGAGTCTGTTCAACGCTCTCTAGAGTAGTTGGGGAAAAAGGGATTAGTAGGCCTTGCTGTTCTCGTCTTCTTACGCATTTTCTTCATAGAATCTCAACTTTGACTTTACTCGGAATTACCTGGACTTGATTGTTACTTATACATCAGTTATTTTACTTCTGTCACGGATAGAGGATCGAAAAATACTCATTGGTACCTACAACTGCGCCCATGAGATGGTACATGGGCATAGGTGAGTCATGGGGAAAATGAGATGAATGATCTCAAGGGCATGGATAAAAAGAAGGTGGGTACCATGAGTTTTCATATGAGAACTGATTACCTACATTAGTGTTTCTGAAAGGTGGCTGTATCTCCCCTGGGGGATGCTGGAATTATCCAGGGGTGGTGGTGGTAATAGTCTTGGGTGCAATTCGTGGATATGTTCTGTTGCTTAAATGTGTACATTTCCAGGGGGCACCAGGTGATTTTTTTTTCTGGAAAGGGGGTCGTAGGTCAAATAGGTTGTGGAACATCAGCTCTACATGATGACCCAGGCAAAATAAAATAACAGAATATTTATAAGTATGTACATGAACAAGTGCTCTTTTACAGATGGTTATTCTGGAATATCTGCTAAAGGGTGATCCAGTTTGTATAATCTCTAGCCAGTTTTTAATCCTGGACTGGCCTCCACTCTGCTTTTCAGGTTATTAAAAAAGGCAAAGAAAATTCTTTTTAGTATTAGTGGGAATATTTGTAAGTGAAACCATTAGAGGTAAGTAATGTATGATAATGCATTTTAAGACAAAAATAAATGAATGTTGGGCCATTTGTAGTTATGTATTGCTTTAATATGGCGAAGGAGAGCAGTTAAGGGCCAACAAAATTAGAACCAGCGTTATCAAAATAGCTGTGATACACTGTTCTCAGCATAATGTGTTTTTCCATGTGTCTACAGAATACTCAGGCACATGCCTTACCCATTAACATTTTTTTCTTTTTGGGTCATACCCGGCGATGCACAGGGGTTACTCCTGGCTCTGCACTCAGGAGTTACTCCTGGCAGTGCTCAGGGGATCATATGAGATGCTGGGAATCGAACCCGGGTCGGCCGTATGCAAGGCAAACACCCTACCCACTGTGCTATTGCTCCAGCCCCATCCATTAACATTTAATGTGCGTGTGTGTATGTGTTTGGTTGCATACATATATAAATCCAGGCACATTATATGTTCTATAAGTTGTCAACGTGAATTTATAGATTGCCTGTATCATGTGTCTAAATCTATGTTGCACCGAAGGAAGAAGCTTTCATAGACCCATCCCAAATAATGTGGTTCTAGCTAATCATAGAGCTTAGTACACCTGAGCCTGGGGTGGGTTACCTATATATGTAATTCAAATTTTAGTATGTATTTTTTAGGAGGGCTGGAGTGATAGCCCAACGGGTAGGGCGTTTGCCTTGTACGTGGCCACCTGGCCGACCTGGGTTTGATTCCTCCATCCTTCTCGGAGAGCCTGGCAAGCTACCGAGAATATCTGACCTGCATGGCAAAGCCTGACAAACTACTCATGACATATTCAATATGCCAAAAAACAGTAACAACAAGTCTCACAATGGAGACGCTACTGGGCCCGCTTGAGCAAATCTATGAACAACAGGAGGACAGTGCTACAGTAAGTGCTATTTTTTAGGAGGTGTGGATAACTTTAGCCTACATACATCTTTATTGCATTTGCAAACATATATGTTTACGTACCTCTTTGACCGCACCACAGCAGTTGGCATACACAAGTGCCTTACCAAACGTGGCAAAAAGGAAGCCAAGAAGAAAGTGGTTGGTCCATTTTCTAAGGAAGACTGGCATGATGTGAAAGTACCCTGTCACTGTCACGGTCCTCCCGTTGTTCATCGATTTGCTCGAGCGGGCCCAGTAACGTCTCCATCGTGAGACTTATTGTTACTGTGTTTGGCATATCGAATATGTCATGGGGAGCTTGCCAGGCTTTGCCCTGCGGGTGAGATACTCTTAGTAACTTGCCGGGCTCTCCGAGAGGGGCGAAGGAATCGAACTCGGGTTGGCCATGTTGGCCGCTTGCAAGGCAAATGCCCTACCTGCTGTGCTATAAATCCAGCCCATGAAAGTACCCACGATCTTTTTTTTTTGCTTTTTGGGTCACACCCCGCGATGCTCAGGGGTTACTCCTGGCTCATGCACTCAGGAATTGCTCCTGGTGGTGCTCAGGGGACCATATGGGGTGCTGGGAATCGAACTTGTGTTGGCCATGTTGGCTGCGTGCAAGGCAAACGCCCTACCTGCTGTGCTATCGCTCCAGCCCTGCCACCATCTTTAATATAAGAAACGTTGGGAAAATTCTTGTCACTAGAACCCAAGGGAACATTTTGGTCATTTAACACAATGGTAAAGGTAAAGGTAAAGGCCCTCCCGTTGTTCATCGATTTGCTCGAGCGGGCCCAGTAACGTCTCCATTGGACACTTTGTTATTACTGTGTCTGGCATATCGAATACGTCACAGGGAGCTTGCCAGGCTCTGCCGTGTGGGCGAGATACTCTCGGTAGCTTGCCGGGCTCTCCGAGAGGGGCGGAGGAATCGAACTCAGGTTGGCCATGTTGGCCGTGTGCAAGGCAAACGCCCTACCGCTGTGCTATCGCTCCAGCCCAAGGAACTAAAATTGTATCCGATGGCCTTTAAAGTGAGCCTTACTGATCTGCAGAACGATGAAACTGTGTTTTGGAGATTCAAGTTGATTACGGAGCATGTTCAGGGCAGACTGCCTGGCAAACTTCCAAGACACGGACCTCACCCACGGTAAAATGTGCTCCACAGTCAAAGCATGTCAGGTCGTGATTGAGACTCATGTTGATGTCAAGACTACCGATGGTTACTTGCTTTGTCTATTCTGTGTTGGTTTCACTAAGAAGCACGACAATCATATCAGGAAGACCTTTTCTGCTCAGCATCAGCAAGTTCACCAGATTTGAAAGATGATGATGGAAAGCATGACTCAAGAGTGCAGACAAATGACTTAAAAGAGGTGGTCAAGGGCTGGAGCGATAGCACAGCAGAGAGGGCGTTTGCCTTGCACGCAGCCAACCTAGGTTCGATTCCCAGCATCCCATGTGGTCCCCCGAGCACCGCCAGGAGTAATTCCCGAGTGCATGAGCCAGGAGTGACTCCTGTGTATCGCCGGGTGTGACCCAAAAAGCTAAAAAAAATAAAAAGAGGGGGTCAATAAATTGATTCCAGGCAGCATTGGGAAAGACACATAAAGGGCTTGCCAGTATACTTGCCCGTTCCATGATGTCTTTGTTAGAAAAGTGAAAATTTTATTTTTTTATTATTATTTTTTAAAATTTTTATTAGTGAGACACCATGAAGTACTGTTGTAGACTTACAGATTTTTGTGCTTGGGTTTCAATGATAAGAAAAGTGAAAATTTTAAAGAAGCCTAAGTTTGAATTGGGAAAACTCATGGAGTTTGATGGTGAAGGGAGCAGTTCTGAAAAAGCTACTGGGAATTAGACAGAAGATAAAGTTGAATGGGCTGTTAGATTATGAGCCACCAGTGCAAGAATCTGCTTAAAATGTAGATGTTCATTGGTAACGAAGAAAAAGTTTTATTTGTGGTGAAACAAAAGTTTACTTCCTGCGTAAGGGAGACCAGTGACTCTTTCCGATGTTTTGTTGCAGCGATTCCAGTTTTGCCCGCTTGGGTCAGATGGTCTTGGAGTATGATCAGCCTTTGAAGAAACTGACAGAGGAGTTTGGGCCTCACACGAAGGCAAGGCCCCGAGAGAGAGGAGAGTTCGTCAGACAGCAACATACTGTTCCTGTCACTGGCGCTGAGGGTTCTTTTGTTTTCTCCACAGGCTGTGAGTGGAGCCCTCCTCTCTTTGTACCCCCTCTTCGTCCGAAGGACCCAGGGCGCTGAGCAGTGGCGCAGTGCTCAACTTCTAAGTCTCATCAGCAACCCCCCAGCCATGATTAACCCTGCTACTTCAGACACAGTGAGTTTTCTTCGCTTCTTGTTTGTGAAGGCAAGGCGTTCTCTCTGCCACCGTCTATACCAGCCATATTCAGAGTCAGGGTATGATTCTAAACTGATCATCGCCAGTTTGAAGCCCTTGTTTGGATTAGGATTAGTATGTGTCTTTAGCTAGAGAAATTTGTTAAATAATCAAAGGATAAATGAATGAGTAAAACTCGTTAAGTCCCTTTTTAGCCCAGCAGGCACTTGAGGAAAGGATCAATTAATTAGCAATCGTTTATATTCAGTGACTATAGGGATCCAACATTCTTTTTTAAAAAAATTTTTATTAGTGAAACACCATGAGGTATGGTTGTAGACTTACAAATTTTGTGCTTGGGTTTCGATTATACAATGATCAAACACCCATCCCTCCACCAGTGCCCATTTTCCACCACCACGGATAATATCCCCCCCACCCCCATCCCCCCATCCCCCCCCTGCCTCTGTGGCAGGGCAATCCCCTGTGTTCTCTCTCTCCTTTTGGGTGTTGTGGTCTGCAAAAGAGGCTTTGAGTGGCAAGGGATCCAACATTCTTTTTTTAAAAATATTTTTATTAGTGAAACACCATGAGGTACGGTTGTAGACTTACAAATTTTTGTGCTTGGGTTTCGATTATACAATGATCAAATACCCATCCCTCCACCAGTGCCCATTTTCCACCACCATGGATAATATCCCCCCACCCCCATCCTCCCCATCCCACCCTGCCTCTGTGGCAGGGCAATCCCTTGTGTTCTCTCTCTCCTTTTGGGTGTTGTGGTCTGCAGAAGAGGCATTGAGTGGCAAACATGTTCAGTCCATAGTCTACTTTCGACATGCATCTCCCCTCCTGGGAGGATCCTCCCAACACCCTTTATTTGGTGCTCCCTTCTCTATCTGAGCTGCCCTTTCCCCTAGCATGCCCGGCTGGCCTCCAAGCCATGGAGTAATCCTCCTGGTACTGATCTCGGCTATTCTTGGGCATTAATCGGATCCAACTTGCCTTACAGTGTAGTAGGGAAGGACTTATATCTAACAGGGAAGATAAACTATGTCACTATGAAGTTATAAAAAATAACTTATAAAAGTTATAAAAGATAAACTATGAAGTTATAAAAATATAACTTCATGGAACAAGATAAATGTGAAGTGCCAAACAAGTGATTTATACCTTAAGTGGTAAAATAATTCAAGGTGGTAGATGAGTGTGTGTATGTGTGTGTGTGTGTGTGGTGATGGATAAACAGTAAAGGTTAGATACTTGCCTTGTATGTGGCTGACACTGGTTTTGATCCCTGATACCTCAGATGATTCCTTGAGCTCAGGAGTGATCACTGACCACAGAGCCAGGAGTAAGTCTTGAGTACTACCTGCTGTGCCCCCCCAAACAAAAAACAACCCCCCAAAACAAAACAAAAGTTCCTAAACCAACTCAAAATTCAACAAAACAGAAACCAATAATCCAAGGGAGAAATAATGAGAAATTTTTTTGGTGGGGTTCCCAATAACGCAGGGATGCCAGTCCTGGTGATACTTGTGTGGGCATTGTGGGTCTGATAGTTGTAGATTAAGGAATGCTGCAGTGCTCAGACCTGGTGGTGCTCAGGGCCACCAGGATTTCCTCCTGGCTGTGCTTAGGGAATTGTGTGGTTCTGGAGTTGAACTCAGAACCTTGTGCACATAGGGCATGTTGCCCAGCTCTTACGAAGAAGGTTTTGATCTTGCTTTTCATTACTGAAAGATAGTACAGCAGATAGGACCCTTGCCTTGTAGGTGACTGATAGGATTCCATCCCAGCACTGCATATGGTCCCCTGAGCCCTGCTGAGAGAGATTCCTGAGTACAGAGCCAGGAGCAAGCTTTGAATACTGCTACTTCCCCAACAGAACAAAGAACAATGAGAGTAAATCAAAGTATATAAACTAGTGAGAGGAAGTTGTGTTAGACCTTTTGTTTATCCCAATTTCCAGCTGAAGCTCTTTCTCCTTTTCTCATTATATTATTGTCCCTTCTCTCCATTTCTAGTACCTTTTATTATCAGCAGGTTGCCCAGTTATTGTTTTGTCAGAGTGTCCTAATCCAGTCTGGTAAAATAAAATTGGTTTTGATCCTCAAATTCTTGCTTCATTGCCTTTGTCCTGCCTCCTTAGTCTTCAGGGGAGGATCAAGTGAAATAACTGGTCGGCGTTTTCTATCTCCTTGCAGATGGCTTGTGAGTACCTGTCTGTAGAAGTCATGGAGCGTTGGATCATCAGTAAGTTTTGTGCTAGGGGATGGGAATGGACATAGTGCACGTGACACAGAGGGCGGTTCTAAACGTCTTCCTCTGCACTGTTTGATCCACCCGCAGTCGGGTTTCTTCTCTGCCATGGGTGCCTTAACTCGAACAGTCAGTGCCAGAAGCTGTGGAAGCTGTGTCTGCAAGGCTCCCTCTACATCACCCTCATCCGGGAGGACGTGCTGCAGGTGCACAAGGTCACTGAGGATCTGCTGAGCAGTAATAAAGGGTGAGATATAAGAGAACCCAAGTCTTTGGGGATTTTTAAGCTCCTCCTAATATCTTTTTTCAGTCTCTGTAAGTGTACTGAGTAGGAGAGGAAAGGGCTAAGATTATATATTGAAGAAATATTTGTTGAGTACGTACTACTTTCTAGATTTTTTTTGGGGGGAGCTACACCCAACGGTGTTCAGGACATTTTTTTAAAAAAGTTTTTGGGCCATACCTGGTGGTGCTCAGGGCTTACTCCTGGTTCTGCGCTCCGGGATCACTCTTGGCAGGCTCGGGAGACTATATGAGGTGCCAGGGATCGAACTTGGGTCAACCACATGCAAGGTGAAATACCCTACTACTGAACTATCATTCTAGCCCCAAGGTACTCAGGACTTCTGGCTCTGCACTCAGGGATCACTCCTGGCAATGCTCAGTGGGCCACATGGGGTGCTGGGAATTGAACCTAAATTAGTTGCGTGCAAAGCAAGTGCCCTACCTGTTGTACTATTGATCTGGCCCCTCGTTTCTAGATTATTCGCTGGGTTTTTGGGATATGCTAATTAAAAAATTAGTGTAAAGGCCAGAAACATGGACTGTGAAACCAGATTATCTGGGTTTGATCTCCAGCTCTACACTTATTGTGTGATCTTGTATAAATTACTTAACCTCTTCATGGGCTGGAGCAATAGCACAGTAGGGCATTTGCCTTACAAGCGGCCAATAGGTCCGATCCAAGTTTGATTCCTCCGCTCCTCTCGGAGAGCCTGGCAAGCTACTGAGATTATCTTGCTTGCATGGTAAAGCCTGGCAAGCTCCCCGTGGAGTATTCAATATGCCAAACACAGTAACAATTGTCACAATGGAGACGTTACTGGGCCCGCTTGAGCAAATCGATGAACAACGGGAGGACAGTGACAGTGAACCTCTTCATATCATTTATTAATTTCTTCATCTATAAAATGGTGATAATATAGAAGTTCCCTGTGATCCTATGTCAATGGGCTATTGTAAAAGATGAGAGAGTTATTATCTATAGACACATAAATAAAAATTAATAGAATTCATAAAATTACCCTGTAAATAGATGTATTAATACATCTATGAGAATACTTATTTCTTATAGTCTCAACAACTGGGTATTATCCTATAAAACATTTCTCAAAGGGTCAGAGAGAAATTACAGGGGGCAAGAGGTGCTTGTCTTGCTGTGGTTCATTCCTTGTACGATTCCTAGCACTACATGTGGTCCCCTGATCACCTCAGAGGTGATTTCTGAGCACACACTATGAATATCCCCCCTGAGCACCACTAAATGTGACCCCCAAAAATGCAAATATAAATTCTCAAAATTGAAAAAATTCAAGACGAATAATTAGAAGTTACTAGAGGTAAATTTGGATATACATACCTAACATATATTTGAAAAACTTTCCTAATGATCTCAAAAGGAATATTTGAAGGACAGTCACTATCTCCAAGAACAATTAATATATATGATTTATAGTTTAGGGAGTTACTTACATAAGTTATCTAATTTGATCTTTATGATACTTATACTCACGTCTATGTGTTAGCGTATTTTTTAAATGATAGAAACGATGTTCAGTCTTTGTTTTCTGAGACTGAGAAAATATCAGTCTTACTCTATTAATGCACTGCACTGCACTGTCCTCCCGTTGTTCATCAATCTGCTTGAGCGGGCACCAGTAACATCTCACAACAAATTGTGAGACTTGTTGTTACTGTTTCTTGCATATCGAATACGTCACAGGTAGCTTTCCAGACTTTGCCAAGTGGGCGAGACACTCACAGTAGCCTGCCAGGTTCTCCCAGAGGGGCGGAGGAATCGAACCTGGGTCGGCTGCATGCAAGGCAAACGCCCTCTCTGCTGTTAATACAATACAAAATTTAATTCCAGACACTTTGGACTCATTATCCTATTTCTTTCTATCATATTATGTGGCGGTTGAAATAACTATTCACTTGGAATGCTGGTGGAATTGAATCCAGCTTCTTGATTAAGATACTTTCTGAATCTCAGTCTCTTTGATTCTTTTAAAAAATGTATTTTTATTAAAGCAACGTTATTCACAAAGTTGTTCATTATATAGTCATTTCAGGCATTTAATGTTTCAACACTATCAGTGTGTTCTTCTCTCCTCCAATGTCTCCATTTCCCTCCCTTTCCCAACCTGCCCCTCCTTAGGCATATAAAAAATTTACTCGTTCCTACAAAACTTTAAGAAATGGTGAATAGGATGATCAGAAAATAAATCAGTAAGAGCCAATATGTGATAGGCAGCACTGTAGCACTGTCTTCCCGTTGTTCATCCATTTGCTTGAGTGGGCACCAGTAACATCTCACAACAAATTATGAGACTTGTGGTTACTGTGTTTGGCATATCAAATACGCCACAGGTAGCTTGCCAGGCTTTGCCGTGCAGGCGAGATACTTTCAGTAGCTTGCCAGGCTCTCCAAGAGAGGCGAAGGAATCGAACTCGGGTTGGCTGCGTTCAAGGCAAACACCCTACCTGCTGTGCTATTGCTCCAGCCCTATGTGATAGGTATATGATTAAAATATATATATTTTATTTATTTATTTATTGGCATCACACCCAGCGATGCTTGGGGATTACTCCTGGCTTTGCACTCAGGAATTATTCCTGGTGGTGCTTGGGGGACCATATGGGATGCCAGGGATCAAACCCGGGTCGGCTGTGTACAAGGCGAACGCCCTACCTGCTGTACTATTGCTCTGGCTCCTAAAATATATATTTTTAAATTAAACTACCATGAGTTTACCAACAGTTACACAGTTGTCCATAATTGGGTTTCAGTCATACAATGTTCCAACACCCATCCCTTTACCAGTGTACATTTCCCACCATCAGGGTCCCAAATTTTCCTCCTTTTATCCCCAAAGTCTGTCTTTATGGCAGACACCACTCTCTTTCTCTCTCTTTTTCCTTTTGGTCATTATGGTTTGCTATATGATTTTAACCTAGATAAGCAAGGAAAATAAAACCTTTTTAATACAATATAATAAAATTATTATCTCACTTGCATAAGTAGTCTTAAATTCTGAAGTCTAAAATATATTGCATCAAATTTTATTTTATATTTGGATCTCATTATGATAACAATCATACCTGTTAAACTTTCAAAGAAGTTCAAAGAAATTTAATTTAATAAATTTAATTTCAAAGAAATTAAACTTTCAAAGAAATTCTGTGCTAATATATTTTGGCGTTTACATGAAAGAGGTAAGGCCTACTTATCTAACATTTTCCCGCTATACTTTATATAAACATTGTGGTTTGCAAAGTTGTTCATGATGATTTGTTATAGGCATTCAATATTCCAACGCCAATTCCACCACCATCATCACTGTCCCCCTCCCCCATCGTCTCTAATTTTCCCAACAACCCCTTAAGTCTGCCCTCTTAGCAGGCTCACAATAACTTATTTTACGTTGCTTGTTATCAATGAATTGCTAACAAAATCATCAAAAATATTTCCTTAGAAGAAAAGTAGTGTAAATTATTGTATCTAACCATGGAGACTTTAAATCCTTGACATTAAATGAGGGATTACTGACATGTTGTTTCAGGTTGAACCTTTTGAGTTACTGTTTGGTTAGCTGCTATTTTTGCCTTCTATATTATATCCCATCCAATCTAGTGTGGATTATAAGTGTTGTAGAGTTTGGAGATGCCGCGTGGCTGCCTTTGTGGCCATAAGCTCCAGGAAGTCCAGAATTTTTAACTGGGTGGCACGATCACAATCACAACCATCCTGTTATTCGTCGATTGCCTCGAGCAGGCCCCAGTAACGTCTTCTTCATCCTGGCCCTGAGATTTTTAAAAAAGTGCTATATTCAAGGCTCTTTCAGAGTTACGAGAATGAGACCCATCATTGTTACTGGTATTTGGCATATTGGGTACGCCATGGGGAGTTTGCCAGACTCTGCCGTGTGGGCAGGTTACATTCAGTAGCCTGCCAGTTTGTCCAAAGTAGGAATGAGATAATAAGATGTCGCGCAGCCGCGAATGTGGCCTCGCGCTTCTGGGAGCTGGGTTTTATAGTCTCTGGGTCTTGGCCGTTGATGGGATTACACGGCGACAGGGGGCCAGTTGGTGGGTGTGACCCCCGCCTACTGGAATTTGGAGAATCTGGGTGGAGGATGCTCAGCCCCTATCCGAGTAGGCTTGGAGATCTCAGCCCCGGGACCCGCATGCCTTTGTTCCTCTGCCGATACCTTCCTGTGTGCAGAGAGTGGTCTCAGCATGGTGGTGGCTGGTTCTGGAGGTCTTCGGCTGCCGGAGCCCTGGTCGGGGCGGGGAGGGAAACTCAATCCGCTCCCCTCCAAGGGGCCCCAGTGAGGACAGCCAGGCGCAGGGGCAGGAAACCCTCAGGCGGCACAACTTGAGTTAAATTTTTTAACTTGGCTGCAGCCCTGGGGTTGTGGATGTGTTATCCAGGTCTTCCAGAAGTACAGGGAGGTGGGGGAGGTAGCTCATCTTGACTCTGAGAAAGTCTGGAGAGTTCAGTGACAAAGATCCTCATACCTGAATTTACAGCAGATTAATTTCTGGGTGAGGCTCAATCCTGAGACAATGGAGTCTGGACAGAGTCATGGCAGCGATTTTGGACTCTGGGAGCAAGAGGCTTTCCAGGCTGTTTAGATGGGCCCTGGACTGGCCCAGGATGTTCTTGGTCATGAGCAGGTGTCTGAAGGATATTTGGTGACTAGTTGATGTCTTTCAAGATTTGTTTATGAGTCTCTAGGGCAAGACTGTAGATGAGTTTACGTGGCACTGGAGATGGTTTGTGGGCCTATTTTTGGGTTTGTTGTTGTTGTTTAGGTCAAACCCGGCATTGCTTAGGGGTAACTCCTGACTGCACTCAGGAATTACTCCTGGTGGTGCTTGGGTGACCATATGGGATGCTAGAGATTGAGCTCTGGTCAAATGCATGCAAGGCACAACCATCCCTCTGCCTCCTCAGTCTCTTTGACTGAGTCTCTATGGAGTACCATCTATTTTTTCTTCACTAGAGAAGACTGTGTTCCTTCTTGAAACTCTGATTCTCTCTTAACATTTTGCAAGCAAAACTACTTCATTTCAAAAAAACAAAGTAATAGAGAAATAATAAAAGTCAAATTCTGAGAAGAGGTGGGTGGGAACAGGACCCAAGTTATATACCCTAACTTCTTTTATATGAGAGCTGCACCTGTGTCAAATTCATGCGCTTTCTTTCTTTGTTTCTTTGCCTGCCTTCCTTCCTTCCTTCCTTCCTTCCTTCCTTCCTTCCTTCCTTCCTTCCTTCCTTCCTTCTTTCTTCTTTCTTTCTTTCCACAACTGTCGGTGCTCGAGGGTTACTGCAGGCCTGTGCTCAGGGATCATTCCTGGCCGTGCTCAAGGGCACCAGATGGGATGCTGGGGTTCGGTGTGTGCAAGGCAAGTGCTATACCTGCTGTACTATCTCTTCAACCCCAATGTGCTGTTTTTTTTCTCCTTCAAACCTGGGAGAGTACTTCTGCTTGAAGGTTCCTATGTACGTGGAGTCAGGAACATAGTTCAAAGGGCTGAGCCCTGTGGGAAGTTCAGCTGGAATCCCTGGCACCTCAGGGTCTCCTGAGCGCTATAGGAGTGACCCCTGAGCACAAGAGCTAGGAATATCTGCTGAGCACTGCTATTGTCCTAAAGTAAAAGTCCAATAATCAGAAAAAAAACTAGCTTTTATGGGGCCGGGACTATGACCCCGAAGGCTAAAGCATATGCTTTGCGTGTGGGAGTCCTGGGTTCAATTCCCAGTAGTCTCCATGTACCACAAGGTATGGCCCCCCCCCTTGCCCCGCCAAATCTGATGGTGTCTATATAGGAGCACCGAGGAAAAGCCTAGTCTTAGCTTTGGTTGTTTGTTTGGGTTTTTTGGGCCACACTCCGTGGTGATCAGGGTTTATTCCTCACTCTGTGCTCGAGGATCTTTCCTAGCAGGGATTGGGAAGAAACATATGGTGTATCAGGGATTGAACTTGAGTTGGCCACCTGTAAGGCAAGCTTCTTAGCCATTGTACTATTTCTCTGGCTCCTAGTCTCAGCTATGTAATTAAAACCCTATGTAATCTTGGGCAAGTAATTTATCTTCCCTAGACATTTTTTTTCCATCTGCAAAAAGATGAACTAGAAAACAATGGTCTTTCTAAGAAACTCCCAGGAGTTTCTTACTAATAGACAAGGGTTCGGAAATATCCTGTTAGCAAGAGCTGCTTATGTTTCCTCTAGGCAGTCGTTTGGAAGCTCCCCAAATTGGGTAGATGTAGGACAAAGTCTACGTTATAGTCAGTTTTGCTAATCTTTTGTCTATTCTCAGGTATGGCAAGCGAGTGGCAGACATAAAGGAAAGCAAAGAATATGCAATTGCGAACAGGTAAGGTGGGTGAGAGGGGATGGGGGAGAAATTCCTCTTTACAGTTACTTTTTACTTAAGCCCTTCCCGGTTTCGGTATACTCCTACTCCCTCAGCCAAAGAATTTATTGCTGCCCACAGATTTCTCTTACCAAGTCTAACTTTAGCAATAAACCTTCACCCTGTCTGACACCCTCCCTAAAAACAGCTGTTTTCTGTCCTGCCTTTGTGGGATTTTTAGGAAGGGCGAGGTGATATTGTCCCAGTTTCCATTTTCTTTCCTTAGTGGTCAGTTTCATTGTCAACGGCGGCAGTTCCTTCGGATTGCAGTGAAGGAGCTGGAGGCTGTGTTAGCGGATGAACCAGGACTACTGGGACCCAAGGCAAGATACAAAAAAATGTTGGGAGGGGAAAGGAAAGATGAGAAATGATAAAAGGTTTCATATGGGAGATGACTTAGGCTTTGTGAATTTTTACTTTTTTTAGGCTTACGATCTATTTGCCCATGTATATACTGGTTCCCTTACTGGGATACTCTAAAACTCTTTGTATTTATTTTTTGAGCATTATCATAGATGTCATGTAATACAACCATTTATGTACTTGTCTTCTCCTCCATTTGTGTATATACTAATTCAAGGCACAGTGTTGCCTTAAAAAAGCCCCACACGAATGCCTAGGATATACTTCTGAAATTTAATTTGATAGTCAAGGAAGGGTATTAACTGTGAGCTACTGTCAGCGTCTGTACATGTATTCTGAGTCACATAGTTTTTCTGGGGATCTGTTTTTTATCGAACATTGTTGGTGTGGCTACCCGATTGTATCCACATGCATGCTCAGGATAGCTTTCTCAGCGGTCTGAAATCCATTTTTGAAATCGAAGATTCTCTGTTCCCTGTCCTCTCTTTAGGCTCTTTTTGCTTTCATGGCGCTGTCCTTCATTCGTGATGAGGTCACCTGGCTGGTTCGCCATTCGGAAAATGTCACCAAGACAAAAACGCTCGAAGACTATGCCGACTCGTTAGTAGTGGACACGGTTTGGCTCTAGCTTGCCTTTGGGAGGGACAGGGAGGCATCCCATGACGCCAGGAGCCTCAACTTCTGCTCTTACTATTAACTCTGTCTCATTTCATATTTCCACTCTCACATGTCTGTGTTTTCACCCTTGGCTTTGTAGGAGCATTGCAGAACTGCTTTTCTTATTGGAGGAGATTAGGGCTCTGGTCCGAAGACACATCAGAGTGATACAGCAATACCACCTTCAGTACCTGGCCAGATTTGATGCTCTTGTGCTCAGCGATATCATTCAAGTATGTCTGATTGAGTATACTTTGGGAATCTCAGGGGGATTCCTGGTTGGTTTTCCCTAGGACCACGTGGCTGAATATTATGCTCTGTGTACTTAAGTGAAAAAAACAAAACAAAACAAAACTACCCCCTCATTTGTTGAAAGAATGAGACTAATAATCTCAGTAGATTCTTTCCCTCTCCCCTTCTTTCTGTGGCTGTCCTGATGTTCTTGGGCTTCACCCTTGCTGAGATGCTCTCGCGGAGAGTGTCTCTGGGGATCACACGCAACAGTGTGGAATTGTGATCCTGGCTGGGGAATCGAACTCACAGCGTTGTGCACGGAAGGCAGGTGGTCTGCTTCTGAATCATATCTATGGATCCCCAGCAGTATTTGTAAGATTCCTAGCTCAAGCTACTTAGAAATCGGAGAAAAAGAAGGAGGACTTGGGTGGTGGCAGGGCAGAGGCTCCAGCAAATCTGCTTCCTCTCTTGTTTGGCCCCTCCCCCCCCCCGTTTTGCAGCACTTAGCAGTTCTTTCGACATTTATGCACTGACTAACTTCTCTAACTCTAGTTTCTGTTTTAGGGGAAACTATGCCCATTTGACATATATCCAACTTCTCTTTCAGAACCTGTCTGTATGTCCTGAAGAGGAATCCATTATCATGTCCTCATTTGTCAGTACTCTCTCCTCTTTGAATATCAAGCAAGGTAACTGGAGGGAAGTGGAGGAGGCAGGATGCTTGGGAGGGTGGACACCTCCCCCCACACCCCAGAACTATTCTTTTTTGGAGACAGGGGGTGTGCTGAGATAACTTGGAAGAAGATCTATCATCCTATGTGGCTAGATTTTTAGGGTACTGTTTTATTTCCCTTTAAGCTTGTATTTTTCTTTCAGTTGAAAAATTTTAATCAGACTACTGTGATTTGCAAAGTAATGCATAGTTAAGTTTTAGGCATAGTACAGTTGACTCTACCACCAGTAGAGTCAACTTCCTTCTACCAGTGTCCTGGGTTGCTTTCCTCTTTCCCTGCCCCCTCCCCCCCCCCCCCCCACACACACACACACACAAGCCTGCTTCCTTGACAGGTGCATTTTAAGCTTGGCTGTTGTGATCTGGATCTCCTGCTTTCATTGTTGTTGACTCTATGGTTTGGACAGATAGCTACCACTCCTTTACACCACCGATGTGCCCTAGGCCTTTGACCCCTGCCTACCTACTTATTCTTGCTAGCCACCTCCCACCAGTTTCTTTCCTTATCCTTCCTATGGGCTAGAGCAATAGCTCAGCGGGTACGGAGTTTGCCTTGCACACAGCCAACCCGGGTTTGATTCCTCCACCCCTCTCAGAGAGC